CCCCGCCCTGCTCGGACTAATGGAGTTGACTTCCTGCAGTCTGGCCCTGGACCCAGGCAGTGACCGTAATCTCAGGAGACTCTTCCTTCTTGAAGACTTGGTGGAGTATCAAGTGGACCCTTAAGTGATCAGGGCTCTTTTGTCCTCTAGAGCTGTTTTCACGTCCCATTAGATCCCAAGCCCTTCTAAATACCCGTTTACCGTGGTAAGTAGCTGAAATGAGGCCTTGTTGTTCTCCTCGGGAACATTACACCATCTGTGAGGGGCGATTGTTCCGGATCATCTGGAGGATGATCCCTGGTGTCACACTTCACATTTCGGTTTGCTTGTCGAAACAGGGACTCGGGAAAAGGTGACATGCTTTTCTGCTCCTGTCACAGAGGTGGTACAGAAACCCCACGATGGCCCGGGAGAGATGGGCAAGCCTGTGGTCATCCCTAAGGAGAACCAGGAGAAGATGAAGGAGCTCTTCAAGATCAATCAGTTCAATCTCATGGCCAGTGAGATGATCGCCCTCAACAGGTCACTGCCGGACGTGCGGCTGGAAGGGTAGGTCACCCAGTCGCTGGACCGCTTACGTGCCATTGTTGACACTTGGGTTACAGCGCAACTGATTCTTTAGTTAGATCCCGAACAGGATTTGTTTGCCAAAGCCTGAAAGATTCCTTGCGCTCTTTTCAAAATATTTAACAATATTAGGAGTATCCCACCTTACGCAAACATCTTTTGTTTCAGGTATTAATCCTCTATCTCGCAGAGGTTTCATGTTTTTATTGTTGCGTGTTCTGAGGAACACAGTGATATCGGAGGGACAATAGGAGAAAAAACAGTTCAGTGCAGGACAAACAGCAATGCAATAAGAGACGAGACGAAAGATAAATGAAATGAAGCTATAGATATGCAATCGATGCTTTGGGGAAGGATTGAGGTTAATCTGGCGGCTGTTTGGAATTGGCTGCCCATCTTCCCTTCATCTTTGACCAAGCTGGATGCCTATCTGCACTTGTGTTGTCCTGAGTTGTTTCTGTCATTCTCTCCTCTGTTTCTGCACCTTAGCCCTGGCGAAACAATGTTTCTTTTCACTGCGTCTATGGCTGTATTCTGCGTCTATGGCTGTACTCTGCGTCTGTGGCTGTATTCTGCGTCTATGGCTGTACTCTGCTTCTATGGCTGTACACTGCATCTATGGCTGTATTCTGCGTCTATGGCTGTACTCTGCGTCTGT